CGACGGGTACACAATGTGAGGAAAGCTCAGCAGAACACGGATCATCGGGGGACCCCCTCCGTTAGTCGGTGTCTGGGCGCAGCTGGTAAGGTGGATCCAGCAATCTCGCAGATTAAGCTGATCCCGCTACGCCACATTACGGGGTAAGAGATACCGTCACTAGCTTACACTATAGTGTGGAGGAAGCTCGCAATAGTAAAACCAAGTCTTAGGTTTATGTCAAATTCAACTCTGATTTATTTAGGACCAGGGAGGCTACCCCTGGCCTTGTGTGAACCACTCAAACACATGTCTATACCTGATTGGTCAATAAGTGAGTCTGACTCCTCACTATCAACCAATCAGATGATGACACCTTGGCACACTGCCACTTTACCTACTTATGTAATAACTAAAGAAATATCTACCTACTTTTGTAATTGGAGTTGGGCCCATTACAGTTGAACACTCGGTGCCCTCGTAAAAGGCTTACCCGTGCCTGGCACCCTTCCGCTGTTGGGACCACGAGGATTCATAACACCTATTAGCTTTGCTCGTGCTAGTTGCGTGTTCTTATTTTTACTGGTTGGCCTTTATAAGTGGTTTACAAGGTCCAGTCTGTCCCGGTGCAAGGGCAGAACTGGGGTCTTCAGGTCCGCCCGAACGATCGTTTACTATCCTAGCAGACGTATTGTTGTGGGAGCTTCCTAACTACATTAGTAGCTAGAGCTCACGTGAGAATTCCAACACCACAGTGGCAATAGTAGGCCAAAATGATTCTCCACCCACATGATCACATTTGCTTGTTGCAACTGCAACACCGAGGTCCACCATTTCGCCACTCCCATCTCGACTTTCTCCGACTGGAGATGCAGATCTTTCGCCACCGACAACGCAAACAGAAGCAGCGGCTACAGCCCCAATAACGTCAGGAAAACCGGCGATTTTCTTAGACCCAAAACTAACCCGCTTAATCTCTGCAGGAGTCGATGGCAGCGTATTTTTTTGCTTAGCCATTTTAGAGAACTTGATTAATGTAAACCACAGTACTTGACTTCGACATCGCAAGTACTGTCGCCGCGTTGTCCATGGAGCCTCCACTGGCCAAATACACCACCGTTACGGCAACTCGTTTCGTAAGGTTGTGCTTGGTATTGTGATGGGTCTTGCCAATCCACTGGTTCTGGTCTAACGTGACAATGGCAAGAAAGGTCCGTCTATCACTCGTTTGAAAGATATAGACCCGCTCTATTTGATGGAGACTCTCACGCTTAAGTTTTTTTTCAGTATTTTGCTCCACGTCTGGATACTTTTCATAAAAAAGCGCTCGCCTCGAAGCGATGGACTGCTCAGAACTATTGTTAAGTATCCCAGAGTATTTGAAATGAGCATTAAAAAAGAGCTAAGCAAAGTGTTACAATAAAGTTGTGTTTGCTTCTAGTCAAGAGAAAATAACTCAAGCCTTCAGCCGCATAACTAGCTGTAAAGTTTAACTGGTTTAGTAGCTCAAGTTTTAGCATCTCATAACTTGGACTTTGTTGTATGCTGCATTGGTTCCAGACGACCCCATTCTTTGCCGCGTATGCACAAAATAATCAGATAAGGTACAAAGTTTAAACTACGACTATCAATCCTTGGAACGCTGTAAAATCCAGAGCTTCCCCGCGCAAAGCGCGGCATTAACCCCTCCAAACCGGAAACCAAAGGTCACATTTAAACTGCATCAGCAGCTTAATTAAACTTGGTATTTGTATATAATGGGATAGATGTCGCTCGCTCATAAAAAAAATCGGGATTTGCAAAACTGCGCAGAGCAGCGATTAAACTCCCAAACCTGCATATTGGTAGTAAGGTTTCCACATATAAATTGCATTATGCAGTATAAAATAAAAATAGTCAGGACGACTCCCGAAATATAGGAACAGAACCAGCTCAGTCTACAGCTCTCATTTTTAAATTTTTGAAAACTGAAACTTCCAATACAAATTCCTATAAACAAAGTTGGGGTTTCACCCCTATCAAGTAAGGCAAGCAAATGGCACGAGACGGTTTGTTTTCTGGTCTTTACAAATTCGAAGAGCGCTATATATGTGGACACCACAGCTGTTTGAACACGACTCGACTGGAGCAAAAACGTGAGCCTTGTGATGCACTTTGAGATAAGCTAACACGAGAACAGACATTCGAAGCTACACAGATGTGGATCAAAACTTACGCAGTTTAACTTATCCTGAATATTACGCACCTTAAAGACAAAAATATATGCACGATAGAAGTTACGTATTTGTTTGTCGCCTCTTGGAAGGTGCTGGCGTTGCAGGAGTACCCGGAGTCGATGGAGTACTAGGTGCTTCAGCCGGTTTCTGACGCATACGAATTCCTTTGCCATTTTCGAAAGGGATCAGCTTTTCGTTCATCCACTCCTTGTGCCACACATCCCAACATGTCATAGCGACCCCACGCACTTGTCGACGCGCCCGCATGCAAAGGTAGACTGACCCTTTGTCGCTACAGTCACCACAATAGTATGTAGCTGTTGATGCTCGCTGGGTGTCTGTTCGAAGCAGCGAGCACACCTTGCATGTCCTTTGCCGTCTTTTCCCTTGTGTTCCTTCGTTTCTCCATTTATCTACTTGAAGGGCAGCGTGTCCAATTGACTGGTTTGCACCGACAAGGACCGGTTCATATGCAGGTCTGGCTTGGGGTGGCTGGGTGCCGAATGTGTTGGACTCATACATGTCTGTTGCTTGTAGGCGACACAGCTGAAGGTGGAGTTTCTTCATGTACTTCACGTGGGTAAGTGGTCGTGACTGCTTGTTCTTGTGAATCCCCTTATGGACTATGTATCCATTTACAATAGCCAAGTCAATGAGCCCCAGTGCCAACGACTTATAAAATTTTCTAAAATGGAGTGCACGCTGGAGAGAATGACGCTGCAATCTCAGCTGGTCATGGACATTCACGCCACCCATGTACGCTTGATAATCTTTTACGACTCTGGGACATGGCACTTCCTCTTGCGTGGGACCATTCTGTCGCACCACCCGATCCAGTTCAAGGCTTCCTCCCGTGCTGAGAAAGTGTACAGGGCGAGAATCCCACCAACATATTGCTGACATATTGGCACGAGCTTAGAAGTAGCCACCTTGAACGACCTACGCGTAATCCCGGGTGAACGAGTCTTCTTCTTCTCGACGACATCTTTGCAGTATCCCAAGCGGTTGGTCATGATTGTTCCCACGCAGTCAAACCCCATCAGCAGCAGCTTAAAAGTTAAAGCCACAGAAGTATAGAACCGGTCGATGACGACTAGGCGCATTTCCTGCTTTCTAGCATCCGGGCCAAATCCAGCAAGCAGGTTTCGGACAACAGCACCAAGGCCTGATTTCATGTCGGGCTTGTGGGCGTCGCTAGTGTGCTGTTTCTTACCGCAAGATACTTCAAACCTGCATATATTCAGCACACAAGACACAAAAATGTCAGACAAAACTGCATAATGCACGATAGTAAAAAGCCGCTTCCAAAAAATTCGAACCTGATGCAGTACGCTGTGACTACGCTGCATAGCATGAAGAGCTTGGTGCCCCACTTGTGGGGCTTGTCCTTCATGTAAGCGCGCATTTTATTGAAGGATGATCGAATGGGTAAGACTGCTTCGTCGAACGCCAAGTGTGATGGCGCAACGTATCCATGGAGCAAGGTGCGCTGCAAGACTTCTCACAACTTGCGGATCTTCCAGGCGCGATCTGTTTGGTCCTTGGGGTCGTTGTTTGAGTTGAAATGAAGATTGCGTGAAATTTTTCATGAATCGGTCTCTAGACAGCACTGAGCCGAAACACCCTCGTGTTATAGCGCCCTCATCCGTTGTCTTCCAGTGATTAGCAAGTTTTTCTCTGTTCGGAGCAATTGTCCTTGCCACCAATAGTCCAACAAACTGGCACAGTTCGTGTGGTAAGATAGGCTTCATGCCTTCCAACTCGTGCTGAATATCTCGCCTTGTCTTTCTTGGTAACTGCGTGTTCAACCTTCGCTTCCGGCGATATCGCTAAAATGTTTCGTCAATACGACGTGGTAGCATCTCCCGGTGATGCTCCGTGACTGGTTGGTGGGGACTCGTTGAGAAGTATCCTGAGCTCGAGTTCTTGCTTCTGCTGCTTCGATATCAGCAGCGTAGTTTTAATCTAAAAAGTAAAAGCAGGTTCAGTTAGAAACTACCTGTAGAGTTTTCGTCAATTAATTGCTTTTGGGACGCTCGGTACTTCCTTATATAAGCTGCATCATGGTCCCGTTTACACTGCTTTGACGTGGCCTGCCTGGTAGGTATTTCACCACAACCTGAACGAGCAATGGTAATCGAAGTAGCAGAGACGTTATAGCGTCGAATAGATACTTGTTCACGAGACGCCCTCATGTTTTCTTTTTGCCGGCGTTTCATCTGCTCGGCAGGCGATAGCGTGTCACCAGACGGAGTGTCGACCCCACGTTTAGACATGACCAACAAGTCTAAAGAGAAAATGCGCTGTATTGTGAGAGCTCACGACGAGCACGTTAGTGTTAGATACTGCAACCCGGCAGCAAACATTTGCTCAACATTCAGCTTACATTCCATGTGAGCCACACCAACCGGGTTACCGGTACGCAGTACCGTGGAAATAATCTGTCCATTATAGACTCCGTACCTAAAGGTATAAAAATTCCCAGTACATGTATACATTATACATGTACTGGAAATTTTTATATTATTATACTATAATACTGAGTATAAACCCATGTTGCATGTCGCACATTTACGGAATCTCTATGGATGGTCAAAGATTGAGCTTCGAATTGACCTAATCACAATGCCTTTCGAAAGGATATTTTTCTGACATTTGGCTTACTGAAACCAAGATAATTTGTCAATCGCGCACCAAAATAGCTGGCGACAACGTCAACTGCTACATGATCTGCATAGCTCGTCCGTTGCATTGCGGCCTGCCATTCCTCCTTCCTCCCTCCGTGCACCAACCCGATAAACCATCATGAGCTTGGCACTGCGTCGTCTCCGCCCCGCCATGCCCTCGGTCGGCAAGGCCCGCCAAATGCATGGCCTAGTGCCGTCCGCTCCTCCAGCAACTGCCTCCTCCACTCCGATCTTGATTCAGCGTCGTAAAAGCACGGCAGCCGAGAGCGCCGCAACAATTGCCCGATCTGAGGCCACACGAGGCCCGCGTTGCAGCCCTGGGCTTGTGGTCTTCGATAAGGACGGCACGCTCATCGACTTCACGCTCATGTGGGGGGGCTGGATTGAGTCCCAAGCCTGGAAGGTCGAGATGACCACCAGCCTTCCCGTGCGGGAAAAACTCTTTGCCGCCATGGGTTACGATTGGATTAGCCGCTCTATTAAGTCCAAGGGTGCGCTGTGTTGCACGCCCATGGGCGAGCTCTACAAGCTCGCGGTCCGCGTAGTGGTAGCTGAAGGCATGAACCAGTCCCAGGCCGACGAGGTCATTAAGAAGTGCTGGAGTATGCCTGACCCCGTACTCACCAGCCGCCCGCTCGCCAACATCCCCGCGCTCTTCCGCACAATCAAGAAGATGGAGATGAAGATCGCCGTCTGCACCACAGACGACCGCCAGCCCACGATCGACACGCTCGAGCACCTGGGTGTCTCTGACATGGTGGACGCTCTGGCCTGTGGGGACGACGGACTGCCCGCCAAGCCAGCAGGTGAGCAAATCTGGACTATCTGCCAACAACTCAGCGTGGAACCGCACAATACCATCATGGTAGGCGACACGTCCACGGACATGCTACTGGGTAAGAACGCAGGTTGCGGTCTGTCCATCGGCGTGCTAGGAGGTGCCTCCTCGCTTGATGATCTGGCGGAAGATGCCGATGTGCTCGTGCCTTCCATTGACCGAGTTATCAAGGTTCTCTTCCAGTACGGCCAGCAGGCTCAGCGCTTTGGTGAAGCCACGAGAAACGTCTAATTTTTCTTTTCTTTAGAAATACTACGTTCAGTCTGGCAGAAACGACGGGATAGAATCAGCCCGATTAAATCTCCGTTTTTCTTTGGCTTCGACAATCTCTAACTTCCCCTACGACAGCGCAACGAGCACGACCGCCATATTATCTAGACTTCCGCGAACATATCCCTCTGTAAGCATGTTGGCCGCTATATCATCCAAAGAGTGTCTGTCGCCGCCTCCCGCTGTTCCACGTGAACTCTTTTCGGCGAGAAACCGCACGACGTCGTCATTGGTCATAGTTTCCCACAATCCGTCACTAGCGATCACCAAAAGTCCACCAGAAGAGGACTTGCCAAGCTGCGCATGGAAGACTGATGGCTCTGCTGTCACGAATTTCCGCAAATGCCGATCACCCAGGCTGCGAGAAACAGCGAGCTGCCCAACCACTCGCCAGAGACCAGAAAAATTCACGAATCCCCCACTTGATTCGATTCGCGAGCGCTCGCCAGAGTCATTCGGACAATGATCCATACTCAGAGGCAAAATTTCACCTGGTTTTGCCTCTCGACGTTTGTCATTTGGTTGCTCCGACATACGAGGTAACCAAGCTAACGCACGAGAGTCGCCTACATTGGCACTGACGACCCGATGCTCCCGTCGACAGTGTAGCGCCACGGTCAAAGTGCACCCCGAGAAATACTCGCCAACTGATGTTGTGCTGTTTGCGGATTTGCCAGTATTTGTCGATTCCAGTTTGTCATCGCTCGCATGTTCATCGAGGGAGTGGAGGAAGCATTCATGTAGTTCCAGGAACGTCTGACGCAGCGCAAACTTTTCGGCCAGCTCACGCTCGGCAGATGTGTTCGCGGCCTCACCCATCGAATCATCATTTGTCTTGGAAATTACCGCAAAGTGTCGACATAATACACGAGGCAGATTCTCCACAACGAAAGCAGCCGCTGCAGAGCCTAGATGCCCATCCACTACGGCGTAGAGGTCAAATCCAAGAGTCTCGGTGCCGTCTCGTCGAGTTTCGCATCTTTGATTTAGTTGCTGTTCCGTGAGAACCAAAACGAAGTCCTCCATGTACTTCTTCCGACCTTGAAACATTGCAATACCCACTGCAGGATGTTGTGGGTATTGCATGTACAAAGGTCCTGCTTCGGTCCGGATCGCACCAGAAATATGAGAGGCCTCAAACTTGCAGAAGCTCGAGTCTGTATCGTGTCGACGTGCATGAACGTGTTGTTCGCAACTCTGAGCGGTGGAAAACACACGGCCACACTTCGGACAGGCGAAGTGGTCTGGAAGCTCGTACCTGGCACGAACCACAGAAGCGAACATGCTTTCTCTTGCTCTTTGTGCCTCGAGGTAGCTTTCGTGTAGCAATAGCTCCTGCTTCGTCGCGAATCGGCGACCAGACTCCTTGCAAACGTATGCTCCTTGAAAGAATGCGTGCTGTAGAGCTCTCTTGGCTGTGATACGCTCCGACGGATGCCATTGAAGCAGACGCCATATTAAGTCTAGTCCCCACAAGTCCTCTAGTCCCCGCTTTAGCGGATCTCGCTCGACAACAGTTTGATTGAACCGTCCAAAGTGGCAGCTCTCACTCACAAGCGCATATTTGTCCCATAACGAGCGTAGTTGTCGTGAGCCTGCCTGGAAGATGCAGAATTCTCGAGTAAGAACATGCAGCAAGTAGGCCTTCGTTCGCCACCTGGACTCTGTATCCTCCCTGCTGCTGTGCCTTCCACGTCCATTGTGTCGCTGGTGTCGTTGCTGAGCATCCAGAATCACGTCGAGTTTTGCTCTTTCGCGAGGTGAGATCAAAAACACTTGCGGAGAACCCAAAACTATCTCCAAGAAAACGACGCCTACAGACCAGAGATCATAAGCCTCGGGGGCTGTGTAATCGTACGGCTGGCCGCTATCGCTAAACAGGACTTCTGGAGGCTGGTACTCCCGAGTTTCTTCAGCTTGAGAGGGTCCGGCAAACTCGGGCGATTCACCACCAGCTGCATATAAGTTATTCAACGTGTAGTCGTCCACAGCAGAGCCAAAGTCTGCTAACTTCACAAGCGGAATTGGTGGCACTGCAGAGGTTGATGAAGGTGGAATTGAAACCAGGATGTTCGATGGTTTGATGTCGCGATGTGTGATGCCACGTGCATGCAGAGCTGCTACGCCTTGAAGCAGTTGACGCATAATCTCTCTCAGGACGTTTTCACCTCTGGAATCGGTGCGGAGTTTCTCCCAGAAACGCGATGGTTGCAGCACAACGCCAGCGCTGCCATCACTGTGTCCATCTGCACCATTTACAACCTCCAGCTTCTCGTACAGATACTGCCGTAGAGACTTTCCTTCATCATAGAAAATGAGCCAGAGCTCGGGCGTCATTCGGGGGTGCAAGGGGTCTTCCTTACTCCTCGCCAGTTTAGCTGGTCGGAAGAAATACTCCACGAACCGCGTGACATGGCGCTCACCATGCAGCAACGCTCCAAAATGGGCTTCACGCTGCCCCATCTGCGCCATGCTCTCTCCTAACTCGAGGAACAGCCTCTTGAGAACAAAATACTCTTCTCTATCTCCATATCTCCTTACTGCTCTCCATACTTCCCCATGAGATCCCGCGTCGAATCTTTTTTTGAGGCGATAGCGCGAGTTCACATATATCCGTTCCGCCTCCTCCGTCACGTATTGATACTCGAGCATGGCGCCTTCAGGACTGTTTCTTCGGTCCTCAAAGCCTGAAAGAGAGTCTGTAGACTGCGGTGGGGGCAGCGGTGGAACGGGGAACCGCTGAGAAGCCGAAGCAGCGCCTGGTAGAGGGCATACAGGCGCTGAGGGGATGTGCAATGTGTCTCCTTCACTTCGCGACATGGTCCAGTGCACGATCTCCATCTTGTCTCGAGACTGCATGGGCCACTGGGTATGATGCGTTTGCTGATGCTTACACACGCCTAATAGCCCCGAACGCTCCACCAATTCGTAGCCCCTAACTGTCAATCCTGGACGCAGCGGGTCGCTCACGGCTGCGCACGCCATGGCATCGTCGGAGGCTCGACGAGAAACTTTCGCCACTTGACTGAACCAAGAACGATCTGTCAGCAGCTTACGAGATGTGACATCAGCCACAGGCCTTTCCAGCGCTAGGGCCACCGACTGCAGCAATAGAAGCAGTAGCAACAGCATTCAGGAGGTCAGATTTCGATGTGCGATAGGCAGAAATAAGGGAGGAAAAATTCGTAAAAATGTAGACTCTAAGTGTGTTTTCCGGTATGCCGAAATGTGGGATCGGTAATTCGATCTGAGACATGTATTTCAAATATTCAAAGAAATCGAATTTATAAAAATTTGAGTGCCATTCATTTGTAAGAAGGATTCGCGTGGGGAAGAGTAAATGGTACGGAAACTTGTTCCGTTTGTTAGACTGCCTATACTGACGTGTGACGTGCCGGGGCTATACGGCAGAGTGAACGCGAAGAAGATCCCGATGGGCAGGTGGAGCGGGGTCACATCCTTCTCCAAGGTCGAGATCGTCTATTAAACCTTCGCGCTAGCCGCGAGAACCTCGAGAGAACCAGAGAGCTGCCAAATTCTCAACCGCTCCGGCAAGCGACGCAATCTGCTGCGATAAAGCTAGTGGAGGAAGTTCTGAACGAAGAGGCCGTGAAGGCTCAGGTACAGCAAATGCGTGCGGAGTACGCAGCAAAGCACGGGCCCTCGAAAATGATGCCAAGGGAGCGGGCTACGGCACCACCGCAACGTCATACGAATCGCATTAGCCAGCGCGTTTGTCGACAAGGACGTTTCTCCGAGAATGAGGTGGTGGAAGAAGATGAAGAAACGCGGCTACAAAAATCATGTCGTTCGCCAGTTGATGATGTAGCTGCAGCGCGACAGTTTTTCGAGCTGAGTGGCTCGTCATCAGACGAGGGCTCGCCCGTACCTTTTGTCGCCACACAATTGCCGCTACTTGGAAGCGAACTGAAGTATCTGACGGATAATACGGTGCTGGAAGCCCCAGATCGGGCCCAATTTGAGAAATCTAAAGACTCACAATTCGAGAAACCCGATGAAGCACAGTTCGGGATACGTGAAAGCGCGCACTTCGGGATACCTGATAGCAAACATTGCGAGAATTTAGATGACGTCAATTTGGATATACCGGAAAACTACGGCAACTGCAGCGACGGTGTTTTGAACGGCTTCCCTTCGAGGTGGAGCTCTTGGAAACAATTTCATGACGGACTTAAATCGTTTAGTGCCCGGACCAACCAGTGTTTTATTATTCGATCGTCATAGACCGTGAAAAAAAGGAATATGCAGATGAATGACGGTATTCGACACTTTCCAATTGCATGGAAGCATTACTTCAAAACGCTAGTGTGTACGCACGGACACAAGCAACGACCACGCGGCAAAGGAATCCGAGTCCACAGATCGGTGCGCTACACAGGTTGTACCGCGAAGGTACACGCTCTGTTATCGAGTATGGGAACACGACACTACATTTACGTTTGCAGTTCTGGACTCACAACCACAACCTGAGTAGCACGCTATGGGACTATTACGTAGCCAATCGAACAATTCAAGATCCCGCGCTACTCGCCACAGTTTCTGACATGCGCGCTGCCGGTTCCTCGCCTAAAGGAATTCTTGCTTGGATCCGCAAACAGACAGGTTATCTACGTAGAGGCTGACTAATTCCACAAATTACTTAATATTTTTGTGTGTGATTTTATTTACATATAGGGAAGAAAACGAAGCTCAAAGATGTGCATAACATGCTGCAGGATCTTAAACATGCAGCAAAGGGGTCAACTACAGACGTTGAAAGAACCGAAAGCGTGCTACGTGAGTTTACGAAGCAGGACGAGGGGAACACGGCAAAGATATTCGTGGACACCACCAGAGAGGTGGCTGTAGCGGTGGTCTTTCAATCGTCTGGGATGAAAAGACTTTTCGAAGCTTTTCCTGAAGTTGTAATGGTAGATACAACTCACGACACAAACACGAACGCATACAAGCTTTTCAGCTTTGTTGTGCATGACTGTTTTGGAAAGGTACACTAGTAATGTTTATATGGAATCATTTCGACAGTTAACGAACCTATTTGATGTTTGCGTAGGGTCAGTACGCTCAACACGCATTGGTTGAACGGGAAACCAAAGAAAATCTCCGTCTGGTTCTCCATACATTCAGAAAGAACAATCCCGGCTACAAAAACGTGAAAGTGCCGATGACAGATAAAGCTTTCCACGAGAAGGAGGTTCTAGCTGAGGTTTTCGAGGGAACTCGTCAACTACTTTGTCAGTTATACGTGCAGCAGTGGTTCGCTAAGCAAGTGGGGAAGTTAGTTGTCGGAGCTACGGAGACAAAGGCTATAATTGAGACGTCTATGGCTCAATTGATAGACGCCGCGAGTACCAGCGAGTACGATAACCAGAGAGCTTTCCTTCTGGACCTACTTGGAGGAGACACGCAACACAGGCTGTGGAAATTGTTCATTAACAACTGGGATAACATGCAAGAGCAGTGGGTCCGATATAAGCGTGGTAACATACCCCACCTTCGAAACAACACCAACAATCGGCTTGAATCAAAGTGGGGAAAGCTCAAACAGTTGATCAGATCGGACTACGGGATTGATGAGTTGGTCTCCGCGCTTATAATGATACAAGAATGGGCCGAAGACGAATACGTGGAGGAGTACAATAATGCAGGGTCAAGACCTCCAATGGACGAGCATCAGGAGCTGGCTCATCTTGGCGTCGTTATAAGCTCGTTCGCTTTCGATCTTATGAAATCTGAATTCATGTACGCATCGTCGGGTGACGCTGATTACGCCTTCACACATCACGACAACCGAGTGATCATGCAGAGTCGCCGCTCTGGAAAAAGCTACGATCTCGATTTACAGGTAAAACTATATAATTCTTTGATTTTCAGAGATTGCTAAGTGTGTACAGATCGGGATACCTAAATGTAAAACGAGCGACAACTGTACTAACGACTACCCTGCTGTTGCTTTTATAGAGCTACAAGTGCGACTGCGCGTTTGCCCAAACGCTTCTGCTCCCGTGTCATCACGCAATGTACTACAGGAAGTTCAACGGGAACGAGAGCATTCTTCCACCACTCTCTCTTATTTGCCCCCGATGGTTGCGATCCCATCCAGCGAATGACATTACGAATGGACCAGTCTTGCGGGGGAAATTCGAGTACCACAGCGTGATGGCTAAGAACCACGACAAGAAGCAATTCCCTAGTTCGACCTCGCTGCCAAAATCTGTCAAGTTTTCAAATGCAAAGATACTGGGTGAAGAAGTCGTGGCGCTACTAGCGCTCCAGCCAACACCCACGTTTAGTACGGGCATGCAATGGCTTACACTTTTCCGGGACGCCGTTCGAACTGGAACATTGGAGGATTTCGTCGGAATAACTGTCGCTCCAAACTCGCCAGATGCTGAAAGAGAACACGATGAAGCAAAACCCGCAACGTCAAGCTCCGGCTCAAAAATGAAAGAGCAATCGAACGGAAAGCTCGGAAAACGTAAGTACGCTTTCACGAAGCCAGTGCAAAACAAAAAACTGTCAAGAAAGGCCCAGACTAAAATAACGCGTATTCAGCGAAAGATTGGCGTGCGCACCCTGGCAAAATTGTGCAAGGACCAAAAAAGCAAGCCGGCAGTGACTCCCATAATGCTCGACTGTCTACTGTCTGGAAATTATTGCTACAACGCGGTATCGGAGAAACTATCTTTGTTGGATTTACCGGTATGCGAAGTAAAGGGCAATGCCACGATTCGATTTCTCGAGGACAGACAGCGGTTAACAATTGACGATGTGACTCACCGATTACCTGCGGATAAAATAACACACGCGTTGTCAATCCTGCCGCTAACGAACGTCGAGAAGTACGTGGCGGTGTGGGAGGAATACGGAGACGTCACCCGAGAACAACTTATGTTCCTAGAGCGATATGGAGACGCAAAAAATCAGATTGAGGATGTTGAACATACACTAGAATGGATTGAGGATGTAAAAGGGAAGGCTACCGCTGTTGAAGAGGTTCCTGTCATGTTTTGGGAGCCACTTCAGGAGAGAAGGGTACGTTGACTTATTGCACACGGTTACTGCTACGAGAAGTTATGCGAGATTGGATACGTGCTGACGTCAGTAATTTTTATCATAATACGTTTCGCAGGACTACATTCTACAGCAAATTAAGGAGTTACCCCTTCGTTTATTCTCCGTTGGAAAAGTGGCTATCGATGGATACCGTTTGCTCAGCTTTCGACGAAACCAATGGCTCAGCACGACAGCCATGATAACAACGATGAAAGTGTTGGCTGAGAAGTACACTGACGTCGGTGTGGTGAGTCCCTCCTTTCGCGAGCCGAAGGAACCCGACCGAAAGAGAATAGTCGCAAATGCTTATAAGGCATTCACACCCACCAAGAGCAAGTTGATTGGGGCGCTAAACTACGATGGAGCACACTGGGTAGCCTTCTTCATTGACGTGGGGAATCGGGTCTGCATACTCTTTGATCCACTACAAGAGGATATGAACTACGCAAAAATTAAAGCAAGCATCAAGGAAGTGGTGGAGCCTCTGTTGCCTGTAAATACCGAGCTGACGTACGACAACTACACATCGTGCTTTCAGCAGGACAACGACAACTGTGGATTGTGGTGCCTCATTGTTCTTGAGCTAAGTTTAACTGGTATGCCATGGCACAAGGGATTGTACAAGCTGGTCCCGTATCTGCGACTGCGTTTCCTGAGCCTGTGCTTGGGCTACGTTGAGGAAAAGCGATAATGCTGAGTGTGGAATCTCGTATTGAATTGCGACTTAAACTTTTCATCGTACTCCATTCATGAATGCTTCCTTTTGCTTTTGTTTCACTAAAATGTCTGCATTTACTTGCTCAACCTGTACAGTAACGCTCGTTGAGATCTACATTAACTGAATTCGCAGAATTTGCTCTGTGCATTCCTAAAGAAGACCATTCTGTTGGTATACGTTTTTTTATTGCGTGGCTGCTGTGAGTGGTGTAGCCGTAAGTGTATGCGCTGTTGTTTTGAGTGCTGTAGCCGTTGCTTCGTCTCGGTAATAATGAAAATGATTTCGTGTTCTGTTTTATCGCGGTGCTGTGGTATCTGCTGCTACGGTGTTGTACTGTGAAGGTGTTGCTGTGAGTTCTGCAGATTTCTCTTTTTTTAGAGACGTGATGTTGTTAGAGTGCAGCCCTCTTTGGCAAAGCACGGCCAAGATAAAAAACACGATCTGCTGTTTCGTGTTTTTTTTCGGTATCTCTAGCAAGAGCCAATAAGGGAGACTGGCGCGACTATTGATATCCATAAACTAAAAGAGACCGAAAAATGGTTGACAAATGAGTTGTTTTAGTTGACGTGACTGGTGGCAAAGTGAGGAGTCGAAGGCGACGTCGTTTCGCCCTCCTCGCCCTTTTTGCCTGCCCCCCCCCCCATCGTTTCCTTCTGACGCTGACGCACACTTTGTTATCTGTATACTTTCAAATAATAGCCAAAACTTGGCACTCATCCATCCACCCCGCCCAAATTGTCTTCGTCGCGCCTTCATCCGCCGCTTCTTCGGTGCTTACTCCGTTTTGTGTCGCTGCCTATTCTTCATCTTCCATCCATTTACCTGTTTTGATTTTCTCTTGCTTTTCTTCTTGTGTATACCGTAGCTGCTACCGGTCGAACGGGAGCGCGTCGAGAGTTCTTTCTCGGCTGAGGTTGGTGTGGCGTGCGTTGCCTAGCTGACCTGGCTTTCTCTATTGCAATGCATCATCCATCCATCACACAGACCCACACCAAGCTCTAGGACGCGTCCTGCTTTTCATCGTCGTCCTCTTCGTCCGACAGCACCACATCTAATGACTCTACTACGTTTGACGCCGACAGCCGGACAGCCATCGACAAGTTCGCCTCACTAGAATTGTTCGCCTCCTCATCAGGATCCGACTCCTCCGTCTTCGCACTACCGTCCAGTACTTTTCCGTCCGAGGCAAGTGCTGACGATGTCGTTGCGACGTCGTCACTGTCGTACCCCATGTTGTAGTACATGGTGTACGTTTCCTGTGCCTTCTGCTGGATCAGCGTATTCCAGTGCCCTGTTACCGCTCGTTGCAAGAATGGCTTGATCACGTCGAACATGCCTTGGCCCAGCTTCTCGTACTCGTTCATGATGCGCAAGCACGACGGGGAGCTCCAGCACGAAATAGCACGCTCTGCTACCTGGAACTGGTCGCTGACCATGCACTGGCCTAGTCTCCGCGCCAATTTGGGCGAGATCAAGTCGAAATCCGACTCTGCTAGCACATGCTCCAGCATTTCCTCAAACTCGACGATAAAGATGACCTCCTTGAATGAGTTACCCACCGGCCAGAACTTTATCAAGCCCCGGACGATCGGAGTGAAAAGCGTGTGGTCCTTGGACACATACTGAATCATGCAGTATGCGAGCTGTTGGTGATACGAGATGAAGGCTGGCGTAGAGTGCAGTGGGATCAGCGCCTTCTCCAGCAGCACCACGTGCTCTTGCTTGATCGGACACGCGAAGCCATTAACGATACTGCCCAGGATCTCGAGCAGCTCCGCCACGCCGTAGTGGTTCGACGTCTCATAAATATACTCGTAGAACGTATTGGCAATTTCCTTGCGAATGGCCGACCGCCGCTGCGTGAGTTTATAGTACAGTCGATGAAGCACTCCCTTCAGCACCTGTCGCTCCTTGAACGACGGCGTCTTGAATAGATTCACGAGCTGCGCGATAAACCTCAAAGGGAAAAACTCCTTGCGCACGTGCTTCTCTAATTTGTCAATATGCTCAATGGCCTTCAACAGTAGATCGTAACAAGCTGAGAGTAGTCCCCACTGCTGCTCCTCCGTCGTGTATTCCGAATATTTGTCCATCGGGTTCTCTAGCATACCCACTTCTTCGGCGCTGGGTTCTTCCACAAAGATATTGCCAGGCGACGTCGATTGCAGTCGAGGGAAGGGTCGGAAAATGTAGCAACCCACGACATGCAGTAGTTCGACGAAAAGCTGCGGGTCATCTAGGATCATCGGAAAGGAATCGCAGTAGCTGTTCAGGTCGCACAGTGTCGTCAATCGCTTCTCGTTCAAATCAAAGAGCTCCACCGCTGTGTACCCTGAATCCTCCTTTCGGGGCATGCAAAACGCCACTTTCTGGCGAAAGTAAAAGGTACGTTTGTACGGTACGGCATCCTCCAGCGCAGGCGTATTAAACAGCGTTTCCAGTGGTTCAGTCACCAGTAGCATTTTGCGGTCTGCCGTCGTGGGCATTGCGGCTGATGTCAAACTGCTCATCCAGACGCTCAGATCTGCCTCGCTCTTAGCCATCAGGTAGATAGGACGGTATCCCTGCAGAAATCACGAGCAACAGTGTTGTCAACACTCCAGACTGATACAACCCCGCGTGAAATCCCGCTTGAAACGCACCGGATGGCAGATCTCAAAGCAATTCTGACGCTTGAACCGAGCAGAGTCGATTGGAGTAATTCGTACCCCCTGAAGTGGGATGACGCCACGCGGATACGAATCCTCACCCGACTGTACGGCATAGCAAGCAGTATAAAAAAAGTAAAGTCAGTGTCGACAGGTATCCTCCCCCTTTTTGCTTCATTCATTCGCAGTCTTACCGTGCCGGACACATAGTAGAAGAGCGAGTGTCCTTTAAGCACCATGAGACGCTTCTTCCACGTCTTGAAGTGGTTGGCCTGTTTAATGAGCACGCCCGACTTGGAGATGGGCGCCTGGAAATCGTCCAAGTAGCTCTGGACACCTTCGGTCGGGCTTGCGGCCGCGCCGTTGCTCAGCTGCTGGTTAGAAAAGGGCACAATGAGGCTCGGGCGTTTCGACAGAAGACTCTGGTGCGGATCACTAGCGGTAGCACGTGGGTCATCGCGCGAGAATGGCATGTGGCCGTTAAAGCTGTGGTGTTTGACGAAGTTCTGAAGGCCGCCGCCTCCTCCGCTGTGGCCGCTTCCCGTGGTAGCACCGTCGCTAGGGCTGCTCTGGTTGTATCCACTGCTGGTCCCGCTACTCGTGCTGTCGCTGCGTTGCGCCTTCTCGTGGCGGTTGGATGCCAGTTGCCGTGACGAGCTGCCGATGGACGAGTACATTTTGCGGAAGAAGCCACTCTTTTCGCCCTTGTCCCCGCGCTGCGCCATGGTCGATCGCTTGCTACCTGTGCCTGGAGCTGGGTGTCTCTCAGCGGGGGGAGGCGCGTAGTGGGCCGGCTGACCTGCAGGACGTCTAAGACTCTGACTCCTTCCCTCTCTTCCGGCAGAGCGAGCGCCGTGTCGTATGACTGCGGTACACGACGCGTATGATTGAAATATTGAATTTTGGAATTTCGTGGAGTTTTTTTTTCTCGAAAAGCACCTCGACTGACTCCTTTTTGGGTGTACCGTAAAGAAGATCGAGTTAGAGTACAGAGAAGGAATCCACAAAAGAGACACACGAATAGACAACGAAATGGACTTATCGTCGGCGAGGTACACTGCAGTTGGGGCAGTCGAACACAGTGCACGAAACACCGCAAAATGGTTACTGGTACCCCGATCCCTGCACTTCATACTGAGACCAAGTACGCGCACAAGGCGCGCGCGTCGTTGCATCGATGAAAGCGTGGCAAGAGCACTGTGCCTGTGTCAGCGGGAGGGGGCCTCTCCTCGTTATGAGGCGAGCCGCTCGCGAAATAACGTGGCGGATGTATCAGCTTTCTTGGTGTGAGATAAAGGAAAAGCACGAACTGTTCGTAGCTCTCGTTTCTCCGAGCCGGTAGCGCATTCGTTCCTAAATTTCAGGCCCTGATATGGCAGTGCGGCGGCAAGCTTTGTAGTGCACGAAAGCAAGAATCCGTGCCGTTGAAGAAAAACCAAATACAATTTGCAATAAGCACAGGCAGCTCCAAGTTATAAAGGCCTTGGGTTAAAAAAAAATGCTAGGTGCCGAATGTAGTAAATATATCGATAGATCATCTATTAGATGTACACGTGTATTCATCAGCCTGCAACAGTTGGACCTTGTGTGGGAAAGCCTCCGACGAGTAACGTCAAGTGAAACTGCTACACGATCAAGGATTCGTGTGGACCTTGTGTGGGAAAGCCTCCGACGAGTAACGTCAAGTGAAACTGCTACACGATCAAGGATTCGTGGGCGGGCGAGAAGAAGTTCTTCTCAGATTCATGCTTTTTCACGAAACGGCGTGGTCATTACGAACTTGTTAATGTATTACTACGTAGTAATACATGTACATGATGAAGCCCTTTTAAACTTTAAGGGTAAGTAAATGTAAGTGTCCGATCCTATTAAGCCAAGTTAAAGTGCCCCTACTGGTGTCCGATACTATTAGTACGGGTTGTAGTATTTGAAAAAAAAGCTCACCACTGCCGTACGAAGCAATATCGCAAGTCTTACCCTGCATCAGAGCCCTTCGTACTCAGAGTATTTACTGGACAGGACCTGAGGTCGAGTGCAAGTCAAGTGCGTCTCCGACAAAGCAACGCGCAATGAGAACGATCACTACAAAATAATCTATTTTAGAAAGTCGCCGTGGCGGTTTCCCGCGTAAATTCCTCCTCGCCGGAATAAATAGTTAACGGCACTGCTCCGTCGCATTTGAGGAATGGCAGTAGCGTCTGTTGCTTCATTTCCCAAGTTCTCAGCGAACGATCGCCATGGCGTCTTTCCTAAAAGCAGAGATGCCGGCAAGCGCATCCAGCCCAGCGCGGTCAGAGGACAAGGCGGTGCTCATGCGCGGCGGTCGAGGCAGGGGTCGCAGAATGCGCATCATTTCGAAGTACAAGCTACCACGCATGAATAATAGCGAGCGCGGCAAATTTTACCGCCAAAAGTACCGCGAATACGAAGACCAACTGGATCGAGATGTGCAGCGTCTGCAAGGCGAGGTAAACGAGGTGCAGCGATTACTAGAGCTGCGCCAGATCCTGCTGCATCGATATCCATGCGTTGGTTTTGATGGAGTGCGAGTAGCTACCCAGGTCGTGTACGAAGGTTTGATCCGACTCCACGAGCGTTGGGTATCAATAGACCGAGGAGCAGCATCACCTACTCCCAGCCTGGCGGAATTGGATTCCGACGAGATTCGATCAGCAGAACATACCTTAGAGCGATTGCAGCTCTATCCGTCGCAATCCGAGCACTTCATTGCGCGACATCAGAACAGTTCGACCCCATTGATGTTCAAGTTGCAATCGATCGAGATTCAAGGTGGCAATGACAGCAGAATCGTTGTAGCAAACGGCCGTCTGTACGTCCGGTACCAGCCGGCAGACCTCGATGAGCTCTTCCCTGTCACCCGGCACAATAAGCAATTTGCTGCTCGACTCTTGGCTAGAGAGGTCGCGTATGATTGCACTTATCGTTTCCACACTGCGGCTCCGTTGGACGTTAGTGAATTACTGTTTGTTAGTGTCGACGTGGATGCTGTTGGCGGGCTGCTGGCCGTGATCCCCAGTCTTCAGTGCGTCCAAGCACTCCTCAATTCGGATTATGGCGGTGACGTGACCGAGGAAACCACCGCCGGATCTAGAATAAGAAGCGCCATTTTCTATGAACGCTCCCCTGCACTTTTAGCAACTGCAATCCGTGTTGTGGACGAGCAAGAGTACTCTTCACCGCCCCGACCAATGGCACTGGCGTTCATTTTGAGCTAATACTACATGTACTACTGTACGTTAAACTTTTTGATGCTATTTACTACGTCGTAGTACATGGTACTTGAACTTCCTTGCTCAATCACAAGTACTACATGTACATTATAACGTTCAAGTAGTCATTGTATTTATTTGTACATGTAATAATACTGTAGTACTTTAATAATACACTGAAAGCTTATACGGGATGATCCAACAGCACCGTCAGCTTAGATAATTAATGACAAACTCGCTCATACCGGTACGCGGTAGCTCTGCATGGACTGGAACGGCGTCTCCTGCACTTCCTTCGGCGAATTCTTGTGACGCGCGCTACCGTTGAACAAGGATTCGATGTCTTCGAGAAGAATACCAGTGGTCTCCGGACACATGTAGTACACGAACACGCCGCTAACAACACAAGTACCAGCGAACAAAAAGAACACGCCGTTGATGTTCAAAGACGGGAAAAGTTTGACCACCCAGGTCATGACGACGCCCATGAGCCAGTTGGCCATTGTGGAGAGCGAAACGGCTATAGATCGCACGTTAAGTGGGAAGATCTCGGCTGGGTAGATCCAGCAGACCGGCCCCCACGAGATAGCGAAGTTGAAAACGAAGAACGACGTGGCTACGATAATAGCGTACCCTGAGGTCTTGGTACAGCCAGCACTCTCGGTGTTGCCATCACAACCAAGCGTGAAAAGAATAGCAGACACCAAGTGTCCAACTACCATGCCCACAGCACCAATCAACAGCAACTGCCGACGGCCATACAAGTCTACCCACCGCATGGCTGGGATGGTGCTGACAAAGTTCACGATCGACAGGATCAGCACCGACAAGATACCATCACCCACGACATCCTTGAAAATAAGACCGCCGTAGGTGAAGACGGGATTGATACCTGTGGCCTGTTGCAGTACCTGAAGCAGCATGGCGATGATCACGCGTTTAAGCACCGATGGCTCCATAAGTTCCTTGTATCCTCCTGGTTGTCCTTCTCTCGCAATCTGTGCACCGATGGCTCGTAGCTCCCGCCCAATTTTCCGTGTCTGCCTAAGTTGTTTCAGCACCGCGGAAGCTGCATCCTTGCCCTTGTGCAGATATGTCCAGCGTGGACTCTCCGGTACGAAGAAGATGCCGAGCATGACGACGATTGGCGCTGCCATGGCCACCCCATTGGTGATTCTCCAGCCGCGCTCATGGTTCTCAATGATCTGGTTGACAATATTAGCACAGAGCAGTCCTGTGACGACTGTCATCTGCATAAAGCCCGAGAGGAAGCCTCGCAGCTCCTTGGGGGCCATCTCCGCTCCGAACAGCGGCAGTGAAAATGAAGAGTTGCCGACGCCCATTCCTTGAATAAATCGCGCGATGAGTAACGAGCCGTGTGCCTGACTGGGGCAAAAGGCGAGCCACGACGTGCCGAGACAGAAGAGCGAGCCGGCTTGAAATATGGTGAGGCGGCGGCCGAACTTGTCTGCGATCCACCCACCGATGATGGCACCAACCATGCAGCCGATGTTATACGTCATGTTGTACCACAATGTATAGTCCACCCAGCGCTGCGGCAGCTCCGCGGTGGCTCTCGTGCAGTCCGTCATCGTTTGCCCGTGCCAGCCGACGCAGAAGTCATTGAGGAACGACTCCATGACCAACACACCACCCGTCACACCCTGATCGTAGCCGAAGAAGATACCACCTAGTGACGCGAATATGCACACAATGATGGCGTACGTGCGGTTTCCCTCCGTAGGCGTCAGGTCCTGGCGCCCTTGGTCGTCGTAAAAGTTCATCGCGACGCCCACCATGGTGATCTGCTATGGCCGTGCGTGGCTGACGCCGAGTCTGATTTCGTTTGTATTCTGAGCGTACTCCTGCCCGGATTGAAGGCCAGTCGAAACGCCCACCTGCCTGTATTCGCTACAGGTCGATCGCAGCATACGACTAAAAGCGAAATGACGAGCAGCCAGAGCACGTCGTGATAAACATGGTACAGTACTTTTAGCCTGCTACAGTGGATATCCCGCGTCAATGTATTGAGTCTAACTTTTCTGAACACAATATTTTTTTCACCAATTCAGTGCTGTGATATCAAGTGAGCCTGTTATAAATAATGTCGACACGCAGCTGCAATGTCACGATTTAAGAAGTTCAAGTCTCGGTTTAAGGCCGCTGCAGCAATAGTTTTTGTAGATTTGGTCTGCTTGTTCGTATTATCATCATCTGTAAAGAAAGGTTTTGCACAGGTGCAACCCTAACCAACATAAGGTCTTTAAGGCCTTCCAAATTATTATAAACCTGGGAGCCGACATTTTATTTGGGAGTGAATCGTGCACCCATCTGGAGATATGAATTTTGATTGGCCTTTCTTACCACAAACTTTACCTCATCCGTAGCGTAGTATACGTCGTATACCTGTGCCATATACCGTTTGAATCGTACACCCCTCGTTTGAATCGTGTCCCTTTGAATCGAGTACCCCCTTCCCCCTAGCCATTCGAAATTCTGGGCGGGAAAATGGACGTACGCCCGCGATCGGCTCAGAAGCGCCGGCAGCATGCTGCTGCGAGTGACGAGAGCGACGACAGTAACGAAGACGACTGGACTGCGCCGTCTGAGGCCTCGCGCTCGGCATCGTCTGGAACCTCCAGCCAAGTGGACACGCTCAGTGACAGCAGCAACCACGTGAATCTCCTGTCTGGTCTATCTGAAGAGCCGCACCCTCTCCAGCGCACGCAGTTTAACTCATGGTAGTCGTTCCATGCCTATTTGAACGAGTACAGCGCGCAAACGTACCAGGTACATCAAGTGTGTTGTTTAATAAAAATGGAGAGTATTAATGTTGAGTATGTTAGAGTTTTCGCGTCCGGACGAACAACAAGGTCGAGGAGCGCAACAAGAAGATAAAGAAGGCGAACTCACGAGCGCCTCTGATCCCGCTAGAGTGGGGTATGTGTAACAAGACGCTGGTTTGTACGCACGCTGGCACGCTCAAGTCTCGGGGCAAGGGCAAACGTGCGCGACAGGAGTCACGCGCAACGAAGTGCAGAGCGCAGGTAAGTGGCTAGATGGGCTCAGATGGGCTCCGATGGGTTTCATTTGGGTGTTGATTGGCACAGATGGGTAACGCGTGCCCGAAATCAACTAATGCATCTGTATGTATGCCAGATCAACGCATGCGTCCGTGTGATTAACAACAAGTCCGACGACCCCAAATTTGCCCTGTGCGTGACAACTGCAAAGCTAGCGCACAACCACAGGCTCGACCGGATGACCCATCAGCAGTACGCGTCCGTGCGCACTGCTCCTTCAACTCGTGTGGTGGATACGGTTGACATTCTTAGCAAGGCAGGGGCTAAAAAGAAACGGATCCTCGAGTACATCCTCGAGAATGCGGACAACAGTGTGGAGATTCGTGACGTGCATAATCTCGTCCGCAAGCTGAAAGAGAGAGAAACTGCAGGGACGACGAGCAAGGTGCGGCTGAAGACATGGCTGACAGAGTTCAGAGAGGAGCCCGGTAACATAGGACGCATCTTCGTGGATAACCGCGGAGATAAGGTATGATGGCGCTCGTCTGTGAATAATATGGTGGTCTAAATTAACGCACCTCTTGTTCTCGGTTGTGTTTAGAAAGTGGCAACATGTATTGTTCTTCAGACCAAGCGCATGCGTGAGATGTTTTACCGCTTTTTTGAAGTGATGCTAATCAACGCGACGCACGGCACTAATTCATCCAAGTACAAGATTTTTTCCTTTATGGTGCACGACGCGAAGACACCATGACCACGTTGATGACCAAACTTTTCGGCTCAGATCCAACGAGGATCCTAGGAAATGCAAACTTGGTCAGCGTGAATCTAGGCAGTGACGTCGTGGTGGATCGCGACGGTCTCGAAGCGCTCTTCTTAGGTGCGTCCATGGAGCGCGCGATGATCCCGGTCAACTGCAACGGCAACCACTGGAGCTCGATCATGGTCGACTTCACAGAGCATAAACTATTCTACTACGACCCGATGGATTTAAGCTACAAGGTGGGGCTTCGTGCTGCTACACAAGTGATCAAGTCAATGGTTCCATCTTTGCAGTCGCGCACTGGCCGTGTCCAACCGTACACAAGCACGCTCGGCGTCCAGACCGACAGCTACAACTGCGGCATCTATATTCTGACCACCTTCGAAATTTTTAGCGGCGCGGACTCGCCTGGGTTCGTCGACAAAACAAACCTCCAGCACCTGCGCTACCGATACCTTAGTATGTGCACGTAAAAATTGCTTTGAGAAGATTTTAATGTCATGCGAACCTTTGTTCAATGCTGGATGGGTGCGCCTGCTTGAAATTCCGACAGTCTTACTTGTGACCCAAACGCTAATATACTCGGTAGCAATCATAATGACAATGTGTGGCGATGTGGTAATGTGGGCTGACAGAGAGAGGACCATCCTTTATTGCAGGCAGGTTCACTTCCGAAAATACAGATTACACACGTATATCTCGACAACTCATCAACAACCTGATGGGCTCAGATGGGCACCAAGTGGTCGTGGATGGGTGTCAGATGGGTACGGGTGGTCACAAATGGGCACGATGGGTCGTCTCTGATTCCCTCAGATGGGTGCAGCAATACGTGCCTTTTTATTTTTATCTGGGTGGTTCCGCCTTCGAGATGGTACATTTACCGAAGAGAAACATTTTTAACATGACGAAACGGGTTTGTTTTTCTCAATACCGGGTACAGTATGCCCCTGACCTGACCGTCCGTGACCGAACCCTCGCCAGAAAGCACATGTCCGCCAAAACGAAGGACAAAACACGGATGGCAATAGCATATACGTGCAACGCAGACGGCTATTAATACCACCTTTATTTATTGGCAAGTCAAAAAAAACTCGCGGGTTTAAAAAGGATACTGAGGAGAATCTGAATTACACCAACAGCGCCAAGGCATGGATGTCACGGGAGATTTTTGCCAAGTGGTTCAAAGATGTCGACACAAAGCTCAGGACACAGCACTGCAAGTGTTTGTTGATCATCGACAATGCAAGCGCTCACGGAGGCTATGACGCTGATACAATTACAAATGTCGAAGTGGTGTTCCTACCGCCAAGTACTACTAGTAAGCAGCAGTCTCTTGACGCTGAAAAATTGCTGTGTTCAAGCAGCGTTACCGGCGTCGTCATATCCAGTACGATCTTGGTCAGCTTGAAGCCGACCCAGCGATGATATGTCGATAGCGACCAAGTTATACAAGGTTGACGTTCGCCAAGCGCTGGTATGGAGCATCGACTGCTGTAATTCCATGATATTTCCGATACTTGTTAAGTTCTAGAAACACACTGGTCTACTCGATTACTATGCTTGTGAATACATTGAGCCAGAGGAGGAGGACTCCGTAATCGACGAGCTAACTAAAATGTTGTCACGCTTACATGCGTCCGATCCGATGTCGATGGAAGAGCTGCTGGATTCACCAGATGAAAGCGTGAACGACGACCCCACTGATAAAGATTTCTACAAAATCGAAATGGAGGACGTTCCCGCGAGTGGTAAGTCGACGGGTGATTGCGAGGATAGAGGAGGCGAAGAAAAGAATGATGATGTAGCGCTTGATTCTCCGGATATTAAGGAGCACCTCAAGTGGATGCAAAGCTGCTTATTCGAGCAGATTAACGTGCGTATCGGATAGAAGTATACAGGGGTTTATTTAGTACGATACAGACAAAGCTGCGAAACGAGCAAAGCAGTGTTGAGCCCGGCAGTGAAGCCAGCACCAGGGGGATGCGACAGGCAATCCCCGTATGGGCTGGATAGTACCGAGTGAGACATATTAACATAAGTGTATATGCATATCTATGTAGTCTACGGTACTCGGACCGGTGATTGGTGGAGGTGGTGAGGAGTAGCTTCCCACTTCTTCTTTTGCTTTGTTCTGAGCACAGCTGTAAGAATAGCAATAGGTTGAGGAATAGGGGTGAATTAAGAAATTAGTAGACCAATAAGGTTTTATTTACTTAAACATTTCAAATAAAGGTCACTAAGGCAAGCCAGGAATGACTAGCAACAGTGAAAGCAATATGCTGAATAGGCTCGTTTTTCCAAAAGAGTGCGGCAGTTCGGTGTATGTAAAGACTTAATCATCGGCCACTTGAGTCTAAAGAGTGCGGTACAAGCGCGCGAGGCGATGCTAAAAGGTCAGGAAAACCCAGCGCCTAAGTACGAGGATTTACTGGTGACCAGTTGCGAGGTAACCGGTCCAATGGAGTTTGACGAGGACCCAGAAAAGAAGCGATTCTATGACTGGCAAATGGTGGTCCTTAGTCATCAGGACAGCTATGTCCGTAGCTTGCTAAGTCAGACTATACCCCGAGGGTATTTGGAATCACTAAGAGTTTCGTTTAGCGACGAGGACTTGCCGGTTGCAGGGAAGCGACTTGATGCTCACTATGAGCAGTCCAATCCTCCGGGCTCACGGCATGGTTGCACTGATTACTGAGTTTATTGAGGCACTGGCGATGGACTTTGCTTTGGTGGGAGAACTCATTGTTCGTGTGAAGAAGACATGGAATCGTATTATTCGGCAGTCACGGCAGAACCTGCAGGGTGTGACGGTGATACCAAATCAGGATGCGGCCGTGAAGTTCCTGTCACTGTTCCCAACCCAATACTGGGGATTCCATTGGATTACAGCAGCGAGGGTTTCCACCTGAATAAGGTCGAAGCGTTGCTACGCAATGTTTTCATGGATAGGAGCCGGGGTCAAATTGACGCTTTGCTAGCCCAGACGGTTCCAGTGAGCTATGCGGCATCC